CTGCATGCATAAGACAAATAGAAGGAGCCTGTAAGTGAGGATCTGCTGCGGAAGCGCCACGCCAGGAAAGTGCTGATAATCGAATACGACGTTTTTCCCTCTTCCCTTCTCGTCCACTTCCACCTCCTCGTCTTCCTCCTCCTCCTCCTCCTCCTCCTCCTCCTCCTCCTCTGTCTCTTTTTCCTCCTCCTCCTCCTCCTCCTCCTCCTCCTCCTCCTCCTTACCCCCGGTCGTGTGGGTTGGCGCTACAACGCACGTGCGCAAGTCAGCGTGCACCGCAGAATTGTTTGAATCGGCCCACCTGGTTCTCGGACGGCCAAATTAGCTGGAGCCTCCTGGACGCAGATTGGAAGAGTTCCGGTGATGCGGGCGAACTTGGAAGGACTCGTAAATTCCCCTGGCGCTGCCTTGTCCATATGGTTTATGTTTCATGTTTCCGGTGGAATCCACAAACGCTCCATTTTGTCATATCGATTCCTCCCTACATTCTACATACAACAGTGGCGCTGTGTTGCACACGGTTGCTGTGGTGCACAGTGGTGTACACAGGCACTGCAATACATGCAGGCATTATGGTGTACACTGCTATGTTGCACACGGCTGATGTCGTGTACGCAGGCGCTGTGGTGTACACGAAAAGCTGTTGTGCCCGCGCGCGCGGTGGCACAAACTGACGCCGTGTTGCCCGCGGCTGCTGTGGTGTACATAGGAGGCGTGGTGTACACAGGCGCTGCACGCAGGCACTGAAGTGTACACAAGCGTTGTGGTGCAGATCGCCACCTACATGCTGGTGTTATCCGTCTTTCGTCATTCCTAGGCATTCCCAGGCGCCGCCGGCGCGAAGCGTGACGTCATCGACACCCTCCCCCCCCCCCCAGATGATTGCCGTCATCGGCCCGGAATGAAAAAAGCAGGCTCCAGCCGCGTCCGCGCGCACGACGACGATGAGCGACGAGCGCCGAGCGACGAGCCACGAGCGACGACGACGACGACGACAACGACGTCGACGACGACGACTGCGGACAAGACTCCCATGCGGATTCCTACGTGGACACCTACGCAGATCCCAATGCGCACGGCGGCAGTGCCCGGAGCGCACTGGGGGGGGGGAGCGTTACGTCAAAGGGGGGGGGGCGGGGGCCATGACGCCCGTCATGCCCCAAGCAATGAAGAAATGGTCTGTTGGGACCCCCCACCTGACAATTTCTAGCATGCGACGTGCCGATACCCCCCACCGCGCCCCAGCACCCCCAGGCCTCTGGAACTCTGTTCTTGGGGCCCCCCCACCGACAATTTCTGGCAAGAACCCTGCCGATACCCTCTACCCACCGCGCCCCGGCACCCCCAGGCCTCTGGAACCCTGTTCTTGCGCCCCCCCCCCACCCAACAATTTCTGGCAGGAAACCTGCCGATACCCCCACCGCGCGAAGCCGTAGTATGTGCTCAACAGCTCTGGAAGCGTGGTGGGCGATGATGGCTCTTCTGGGCTGTTGAGAGGGGACAGCTGTTCTAGGCTTTTGGGCGGGGGCAGCGCTGCTGGCGGGGAGGGGGCGGAGGAGGAGGAGGAGGAGGAGGAGGAGGAGGAGGAGGAGGAGAGATGCAGGGGAGTTGCGGGGAGGAGGAGGAGGAGGAGGAGGAGGAGGAGGAGGAAGAGGAGGAGGAAGAGGAGGCGGATGATAATACGGGAGTTGATGGGGGCAGGATGGGGGGGGATGAGGAAGGGTGGGGCCGACGAGGGAGGAGCGAGGAGGGGAATGCGGACGACGGGGGAGGGGGGGAAAAACACGGGGAGAAGGATGAGATGGAAGAGGGCCAGACGCAGCAGGAGGAGCAGGGTCGGGCGTGGCGGGCCAGGTCCTCGCCCACCTCATCTTGGCTTCCTTATGCTGCTGCTATTCCTCGCCCTCCACGCTTCTCCTCGTATCTCCTCCACGTCTTCCTCTTTTCCTCGCCCGTCCTCCTCCTGCTCCACCCACTCCCCCTCCTCACCCAACCTCGCTCATCCTGTTCATTCCTCCTCATCATTTCTCTTCATTCTTGCTCGTTTCTTCCTCTTCCAACTATTATTACTCCTCCCCTGTCCGTCATCTTCCATCCTCCCCTCCATCCTCACCATCCTACTCCTAATTCCCCCCCCTCCGTCCCCCATGGTCCTTCCTCCTTCTTCCTCCTCGTCCCTCCCTGATCTTGCTGCCACCATTCTCCTCTTCCTCCTCCTCCCCCTCCTCCTCCTCCTCCTCCTCCTCCTTCCTCAACGTCCCGTCGAACCCCTTCCCAGGAGGGGGCATGAGAAATCGCCAATGAAAAGTCTAGCGCCCGCTCCGAATATTAGCCGTGGGAGCCAGGGGGACGTATGCCTCAATATCGACTGGGTTGAAAGCGCATTTTGGCGAGTGCACTATGGCGAAACGATTCGGCTGACAGCGAGCCCTGGTTATTGCACTCTGGAGGGGCGACGGGGCTGAGAGTGCACTCTGGTGAGTGCACCCTGGTGTGACGACGGGGTTGAGAGTGCACTCTGGTGAGTGCACCCTGGTGAGGTGACGTGGCTGAGAGTGCGCTCTGGCGCCTGCACCCTGGTGTGACGATGGGGTTGAGAGTGCACTCTGGTGAGTGCACCCTGGTGGGGTGACGTGGTTGAGAATGCACTCTGATGAGTGCACCCTGGTGTGACGATGGGGTTGAGAGTGCACTCTGGTGAGTGCACCCTGGTGGGGTGACGTGGCTGAGAGTGCACTCTGGCGACTGCACCCTGGTGTGACGATGGGGTTGAGAGTGCACTCTGGTGAGTGCACCCTGGAGGGGGGAGGGCGATGAGGAAGGATGAAGAGGACGATTATTCATCGTCATCCTCATCCTCCCTCATCGATCTCCCCTTCCCCTCCACCTCCCCTTCTCCTCCCCAATCCCCTCCTACGTTCCCCCGCAGCTCCCCCCTCCCTTTTCCAAGCTGCCACTGGAGACCAAACATCGGCGTCAAGCCGCCGTGGCGACTTGGCCGGCGTTTCCTCAGGCGCCTGCTCCTGGAGCGGCCCGCAGGCGGCGCGTAGAGCGGCTGCGCAGAACGACGAGGCACCTCGACTGGTTGCCCACGCTCCGGCAGTCCAGCCTTGCTCATCACACGCACCCTGGAGATGCGACTGCTGGTGAAGCTGGTGAGCTGCGCATTGACATTGCGTGCCGTAAGAGTAAATTGGCCGAGCTGTGCCTGCTGCTGACCTGCACACCGCACGTACGCGGCAGCCAACCTGCCGGTGCCGCAGATCCTGTGCGTCAAAATCCTGACGCACATGCACGTCAAGGACTCCCAAGGCTCACATCTGGATGTACCTGGTGGTGGAGGCCGGGGCCAACCTGCTGATGACCTCAAGCGCGACGTCAACCTTGGTGCTGGCGCGATTTATGCCAGCCATCCTCCACGCGACGGTCGGTTTCGGCGTGGGGCTCGTGCTCTGGAGCCTCGCGCCTAGGGGCCTCTTCATGGTGTTCGTCGAGTGACGCGCCCGCAGCCTCGCTCGCTTTGCGTGTGCTGCAGCTTACAGGATGCCAGTTGCCTGTCATGACGTCCCAGGCGTTTCCCAAGTATCTCAGTAAGACATTCGGGCGGGATTTGCGCAGCAGATCTGATTGCAATGTAAAGTGTCGCATGGAGTGTGCATGGGGCAAGTTTCACTTGCACAAAACAGTTCTGCTGAACAAAACTACATCGTTGCGCCTTCGTTTGAAACTTTTCGACGCGGTTGTTACGCCTACCGCGGTCTACGGTCTCTCGACGACAGCCACGACAGCAGTCCATCGGTCGCGGACTGCGTCGACGCGAGCAAAAATGCGGCGCAAAATGGTCGGTTTCAACAAGCATCCCAGCGACTGTTGGGAGGAAGCGGGGCGACGTTGCAAGCAAAAAGTGCGCGTCGCTTCAGGCATTTTTCCTGTCAGACTGGCTCGTTGTGATGGATCGCTCCCTGTGGCGCCTTGTGGCGCGTCTTACCACTAGTGATCCGCAAACGTGGCCAGCGCAAATGTTAAGATGGGAGTTCGACGCCGAGGCCGGCCGCGACGTAGACGGACAGATGCCGTCGGTTCTTTCTTCGGACGAGAGCAAGGTACGAGTTTATCCCATGTTGTAGGTCGCCAAGAGCCTTTCCCCTGGCAGCGGTTGGAGACTGCATTTTTGAATTACATGTGGTGGAACGCATGATGTAAGATAGAATAGTATATCGATTGTTTATATCCACCATTTCTCTTGCATGCGCGTTTTCTTGCCGTATTGTTTCACGCCCTCCGTCTCCGGAGCGAGCGGCCTCCAGGCCCCTGGAGGCCGCTCGAGCGAGCCTGCAGGCCCCTCGACCGGACTTGACTTGACCTGAGCCGACTCTGCTCTGCAGCGAGCCTGCAGGAGAGGAGGAGTGAGAAGGGGCGGGCCGTCTCAGAAAGCTCGGAAGGCCTCGGGCCTTCTGAGAAGTTTTCTGCGCCTTCCCCGAAGGCACAGAACATTTCGCAGAAGGCGCGAGGGCTTCTGAGAAACCCTTCTGTCTTCTGATAGGTGGCCACATGTGAACCCTACCCCCACCCCCCACGATTTCTGAGGGGGGTGGGGGTTCACTCCGCTCGGAACTTCCCGAACTCTCGGGCCTGCTTCCACTGGCGGCAGGTCACTCCGGCAACCAGAACCCCCCTCCCTCTCCCCAGACACTCCACACCCATCCCTCAGGTGGAAGCGAGCGGCGAGGGCCGCAAGGTGTTTGAACGGGATCGTCGGCCCTGCTGGGAAGGAGCGAATACTTAGGGAGGAGGAGGCGGAGGAGGCTGAGAGGTCTCGTGGACCCTTTCCATCACCAGGTGCTGCTCCCCGCGAGTCGCCCCGGAAGCTCCACCGGCTGCTTTGACAGGAGCCTCCATACACCCCCGCCCTGCCCCGACGCACTATCCGGCCCACTGTGACGGCACCCGTGCTCCGTGCCTGGACTGCCTCCGCTGGCCCACCCAGCGCAAGGCGGGTCCGGGATCTCGGTGGCGGCGCACGCCTCCAGAAAGAGCTGGGTGGCCAGCTCCTCCTCCGCCTGGGGTGGGGACGGCGAGGCCAGAAGGGCGAGGACAGGGGAAGAGGAAACGGAGGAGGGAGCGGAGGAGAAGGACAGTCGGGGAGCAACACACTTTCGGAGGTCCGCGCGGATTTCTTGGATTGGCGCTGCGCCCCCCCCCTGGCACGCGGACCGCGCCAGGGGCGGCACCCGATGCGCCGCCAGCGGGCTCCAGCGCCGAGCCGAGAAATCCGCGCGGACCTCCAAACGTGCATGTTTGGGTCATTCTTTGTCCCCCGAGGGCAGAAGGGAGAGGGAGAGGACGGGGAGGAGAGGAGGACGGAGAGGAGAGGAGGCATCAGGGAGGCAGAAAGACGGGGCGGGGACGGCACGGGGGCAGCCGGCGCTCGACGCTCTGCGCCCGCCGCCCGCACCACGCACTTCGGACTCCTAGAGCGCGGACGTGCCTGCGCGCTGCGAGTGGCAGCGCGGAGGCAGGCAGTGCAGCAGCGCGCGGCCTGCGGGCAAGATATCCACTGCGTCTTGGACCTGCTGGGAAGGAGCGCCAAAAGGCCGAGGCGAGGTGGATTTGGATAAAAGTCCAGCCCCTAAGGGGCAGACTTTTATCAATATCCACTGCGCCTCGGGTGTCTGGGGAAAGTAGCCCGAAACTCCTTGATGCAATGGATATGGATACAAATCTTGCCCGCAACGGCCGCAGCCGCCTTCTGTTCTGACCTTCCGACGTTCTTGCGCTTCAGAGGCTCGAGCACCAGAGAAAACAGCCGAACGCAGGCATCTCCCAGCTTGGCTAGTCCCGCGACTGGTGGGCAGGACGCGTCGTCAGACATCAATCGCGGACTCGCCTCGCCTCACCTCCTCCTCCCTCCTCCTCCTCCTCCGCCTCCTCCTCCTCCACTTATTATTATTATTATGATTATTATTAGTATTATTATTATTACTATTATTATTATTCGTCTGTTTCTCGTTCCTCCTCCTCTTCCTCCTCCTCATTCTTATCATTGTTCTTCCCCCTCCTCCTCCTCCTCCCTCCTCCCTCCTCCTCCTCCTCCCTCCTCCCTCCTCCCTCCTCCCTCCCCCTCCTCCCTCCCCCCTCCTCCCTCCTCCTCCCCCCTCCTCCCTCCTCCCTCCTCCCTCCTCCCTCCTCCTCCTCCTCCTCCTCCTCCTCCTCCTCCTCCTCCTCCTCCGCCCTCCTCCTCCTCATCCTTCTCCTCTTACTCCTCCTCTTTCGTATTCTTCATCATAGTATTATGATTGTTATAAAATATGTAGCCTCTTCCTCATCCTCTTCAAGTATCGTCATCCGATGCGTCAATTTCCTCCTCCGCCTGCAAATGCTCCTCCTCCTCCTCCTCCTCCTCCTCCTCCTACTACTACGCCTACTCCTGCTCCTCCCTCCTGCTCATCCTTCTCCTCCTCTTCCTCCTCCTCATCCTCCGCCGCCTCCTCATTTCCTCCTCCTACTCCTCCTCCGACGACTTAGCCTCCTCCGCTTCCTCCTCCTCCTCCTCCTCCTGCGCCTCCTCATCCTCTCTCTTCTCCCTGTCCTCCTCCTCCCTGTCCTCCTCCTCCTTCTTTTCCTCCTCCTCATCCTACTCCTCTTCCTCTTCCTCCTCCTCCTCCTCCGACGACGACGACGACTCTGACTCCTCCGCCTTCTCCTGCTTCTCCTCCTCCTCCTCCTCCCTGCCCTCCTCCTCCCTCCTCCTCCTCCTCCTCATCCTTCTGCCGCGCCCTGCGCCGTCTGCCACCGCCCTGTGCTCGCGCTCGACCCGCTGCTCCTGCGCTGTGCGCCGCGCGCCCCCAGTCCCGCCGCTCTCTCCTGCCTCCCCCGCGCAGCCAAGGCTATGCCACAAGGAGCCTCTGAGGTAAGTAACGAAGCCCCTCTTGGGCCCTCATTTCGCCTCCTCCTCCTCCTCCTCCTCCTCCTCCTCCTCCTCCTCCCCCTCTCCTCCTTATCCTCCTCTTCCTCATACTTATTGGTTTGTTTAGGCTTCTGATTATTATGGTTATCCTCCTCCTCCTCCTCCTCCTCCTCCTCCTCCTCCTCCTCCCCCTTCTCAAGTATCGTCATCCGATGCGCCAACTTCCTCCTACACCTGCACATGCTCCTCCTCCTCCTCCTGCTCCGCCTCCGCATGCTTAACCTCTCCCACCCTCATACCCTTCTTCTCTCATTCTCCGCCACGCCCCATCGCCCAGCTCCCCCACTCTCTTTCCCAAGACGTGTAGCGCGATGGCACTGGCATCGTACAAGTCAAGCAACGCCAACATTGACCCGTGATGTTCGCGTGCTAGGGAGCCCGCATATCCATTGTAAACGAACATGTAAGTATGCGGGCTGGAATCCCGCCCTACCACACACACAGCACACAAGAATATGGCACTCGATGATCGGCCATGGGCTTCCTCCAATTCTTCTTCATACTATGTTACCCCTTCCTCCAACTCTTCCACCCCCCCCAACTCATTCTCCGCCTCCACTTCAAACCCCCATCCTCCTCCTCCTCCTCCTCTCCATCCTTGTTCTTCCCTCGCGCTCCTCATGCTGCAGAGTTCTCCACTACGCTGTCCTCCGCCTTCTCTCCGGTCCCCCTCCTCCCTCCCCTCCTACCTCCCAACTGCTGCTCATCCACGTCCTGCCACCGACCAGCCGCGCATCACAGACAAGCTGCGGGGAGCTGGGCTCTCTGAGTGCACCGCCTTCTGCTTGGCTGCGATGTCCTCCTGCAGTCGGGGCGGGCACGATAGCGAGGCTGCAGCAGGCTGCGAGACGAGGCGAGGAGCAGGTTATTACTGACAGTGACGGGCGGACTGCGCCCTGAAGACCGAGGGGGCAGAGAGAAGGAGATACAGTGGTGGGGAGACAGGCGGGGACGGTGATGATCACATGCGTGAATACCACGCCTCCCATGCATGTTTCCATCGGCGTTCCTGAGCAGGGGGGCAACAATCTAACCAACGAGAAGGTGGCACGAGGGAGCGAGACAGGCTTGGTAAGGGCTCTCTTCTTCGAAAGGGGATGTCCCGAACCATCCCTGTGTAACTCCCTCCTTCTTTGGTCTGACCATGTTCCCTGCACCCTGTATGGATATCAAGGGAAGACGGTGACGATGATGACCACGCGCATGGCTGCCATATCTGGACCTGCCCCGCAGAACTCCGCCGTTATTGCGGGCACTCCGAAGCTCCCCCGAGGTCGCCGAGCTCGGACAAGGAGATCCTGCGGCCGAGAATTGCGCACCTATTTCTGGGCGGGGGGGGCCTGCTTGCCCCAGCAAAATCACGGACGACGTGCACTCCGCGCAAAGTCTGCAGGATCTCGCTCGTCTCTCCCTCTCTACCTTTCTCGCTGTCTCTCTCTGTTCCTCTTTCTCGCTCTCGCTCTCGCTATCGCGTTCTCTCTCTCTCTCTCTCTTTCTTGTTTTTTTGTTGTTTTGTTTCTCTCTCTCTCTCTCTCTCTGTATACATACATATGTGTGTGTCAAGCTCTGTTGGTGGACCACCGTATCGGAAAGATGGGCTGGCAACAAAGAAACACCTCATAGGTGGGAGGAGGTCATGAACCCGCAGGATAGCTCCTCACATGCATGTTAATGGCTGTGCCATGCGAAACTCCACCTCATCATCATCTCCCTCTCATGCGAGCTCATCCGCTAGGGACATTCGATGGAAATCCATATGATCTTGGGCAAAATCCAAGTGCGGAGTGCGCCGGACTGGACTCGGTGGTGCCATGCGAATTCCTCCTCTGGGGCCTTACGCGAAGTCCCTACGGTGCACGATCCAAGTGGACGCGGAGCCCCGAAATGGACGCGGTGGCGTCATGCGAGTTCTTCCGCTTGAGGCCACAAGTGGAGCTCGCATTTGGACACGATGCGCGTGAGCGGAGCGGAGAAATGAGCGCAGCAGCGCGATACGAGTGCATCTGCTGGAGCTCACCATGGTGTAGGCTCCGCGTGAGGTGCGCGCCGAAATCGGCGCGGTGACGCCATGCGAGCTCCTCCACTGGGGCGGTGGAGCTCCATATGGGACGCGATCTAAAATGATGGGCGCACCGAGATGTGCGCATGCGAGTTCTTCCACTGGGGTCATAGGTTGAGCTCCCTACAGGGGGCACGTTTCACGTGATGCGTGCGTGCGTGCGTGCGTGCGTGCGCGTGCGCGTGCGCGTGCGCGTGCGCGTGCGCGTGCGCGTGCGCGTGCGCGTGCGCGTGCGCGTGCGCGTGCGCGTGCGCGTGCGCGTGCGCGTGCGCGTGCGTGTGCGTGTGCGTGTGCGTGTGCGTGTGCGTGTGCGTGTGCGTGTGCGTGTGCGTGTGCGTGTGCGTGTGCGTGTGCGTGTGCGTGTGCGTGTGCGTGTGCGTGTGCGTGTGCGTGTGCGTGTGCGTGTGCGTGTGCGTGTGCGTGTGCGTGTGCGTGTGCGTGTGCGTGTGCGTGTGCGTGTGCGTGTGCGTGTGCGTGTGCGTGTGCGTGTGCGTGTGCGTGTGCGTGTGCGTGTGCGTGTGCGTGTGCGTGTGCGTGTGCGTGTGCGTGTGCGTGTGCGTGTGCGTGTGCGTGTGCGTGTGCGTGTGCGTGTGCGTGTGCGTGTGCGTGTGCGTGTGCGTGTGCGTGTGCGTGTGTGTGCGTGTGCGTGTGCGTGTGCGTGTGCGTGTGCGTGTGCGTGTGCGTGTGGGTGGGTGTGCGTGTGTGTGGGTGTGTGTGCGTGTGTGGCGAAATTGGCATGCGGACGGGAAGCAGATGCAGGGGGAGGGGGGGGGAGCAGGAGGAGGAGGAGGAGGGGGAGCGGGAGGACGAGGAGGGGGAGGGGGGAAGGGGGAGCAGGTGGGGCCCAGCGCTGCGGAGTCAAAACGAAGACCCACAAACATAGGAAGGTTGAGGAAGGAATTGGTCAGACACACGCACACAGAGAGAAAGAGAGAGAGCGAGATCCCAAAACACTTCAACTGGGCACCCTTCTGATGGCCCAGAGCAAAGGCAGGGCTCTCGTCCTCGTCCTCCTCCTCGGCGCTCTCGGTCGACTTCTCGGCCGCGGAGCTCTTGTCTCGCCGCCTGGCCAACGAAAGCCCCTCTCGAGAAGCACCCGCTGCCGCCTGCCTCGCGTGCCCTCGGGCTCCCTCAGCCCCGGTGTCCAGGGGGACGGAGGCCCACCCCCGCCCCCCCTGGACCGGCTGCCGTTCGGCTGTGGGTTCCCCATCATTCAGCAACTAGAAAACGGCGAGTTAACGGAAACCTTGACCCCGGGACGTGGTCACTACCGCCCCTCAGGGGACCCCCGAGGAGCTTCGCCTCCTCCAGTTTCTGGGCATTCGGAATTCGAAAGATGGGACGCCTGGCACCACTACAAAAAAGAGAAGGGTGTTCGCAGCGACTCAAAATATCCCATACGTCTGAATTAAGGGGAACCTGGAATCTTTTGAAAAAGCAAGGTTTCAGTGATGACTCAAGGTTGCCCATACGTAAATCTGAATACTGGGGAAGCCTGGAATCACTACAAGAATGGTGAGGATTTGTCGTGATGTCATGCTTCCCATCTTTTCGAAATTATGGGAAACCTGGAATCACTACAATACATGTATCTTGTCGTCGCCATTCCAGGCTTCCCATAATTCTGAATTGAGTGAAACTTGGAACCACAATGAGAAGCATTCTTGATAATGGTTCCATGTTCCCCAAATTCCGAATTATCGGATATATGGAAACACTAATAAAAAAGGGGAGGGGGGTTCGTAGTGAGTCCAAGTTTCCAATAACACAGAAATATGGGACATCTGGAATCACTACAAACAAGACTTGGCTTTCGTAATGCTTCCAAATTCCCCACAATTTCGGATCATGGGGAACCTGGAATCACTACAAAAAAACTGTTCGTAGTCTTTCCAGGCTCCCTGGAAACCTGGAAGCACAACAAGAACAAATACGTATTCCAAGCTTCCCAAACTTCAGAATTACTGGAAGCCTGGAAACACTACCAACAAACTGTTCTTCATCTTGGTTACAGGTCTCCCATAACTCAGGATTATGAAAAACCTGGAACGACTTTCAAAATAATAGTGTGTAGTCGTACTGATTCCAGGTTTGCCATCATTCATTATTATGCTAAACCTGGAACCAATAAAAAACAATGGTTGCCGTCGCGATTCCCAATTACCCATAATTCAGAATTATGGGAAGCACGGAATCATTACAAAAAATGGTTTCGCAGTGGTCCCAAGTTTCACACGCTTCAAACTCATGGGACGCCTGGAATGACTAAAAAGGGAAGGAGGGGGTTCGTAGTGGTTCCAGGCTTCCCATTCCCCAGTGATGGGGAAACTGGAAGCACTACAGCAAAAGAGAAGGTTTCGTAGTGACTCCATGTTTCCCCTCATTCAGAATTGCGAGAAACCTGGATTCAGTACAACAAATGGGGGTCGTAATGATTCAAAAACTCCCAGAATGCCGAATTGTGAAGGACGTACAATCACGCCTCCCAGGAATAAAACTCTCCGTAGTGATGCCGGCTTTCCGACGATTCCGAATTTGGAAGCATGGATTCACTACCCCAAAAATGTGCCTAATAATTCCAAGCTTCCCGCAATTCCAGGTAATCGGAAAATCGGAATCACTACAGCAACGAGGGGAGGGTCGTAATGATTCCTGGTTTACCTTACTTCCGAAAGTTAAACATCCTGATATCATTACAAACAATTCGCACATATTCCAATATTACATTTCCGATATTTTGATTTCGAATCGTGGAAACCTGGAATAACTACGGAACCCATGTTTTCGAAATGATTCCAGGTTTCCGAGAATTCCAGATTATGGAACGCCTGGAATCACTATTCAAAAACGGCTTTCGTAGTTATTCCAGGCTTCCCATAATTCCGAATTCTGGGAAACCTGGAATTACTTCAAGCAAGGGGGGAGTCTCGTACACACTCCAAACTTCCCATAATTCGAACTCCGAGTTCCGGACAACTGGGGGAGCGGAGCCCCAAGGAGGGTCGAATTATGGGAAACCTGGAATCACTACGAAAAAGGAGGGGGGTCGTAGTGAGTCCAAGTTTCACATGATTCGAACCCTGCCTTTGGAGGAAGCGGGGGGGATACTTTCCCAGAGGTCGAAACGTAATTCGAATTCCGAATCGGGGAAACTTCGGGGTGCAAGGGCCCCTCGGAGGGTCGAATTATGGCAAGCTTGGAGTCAGCACAGAACAAGGTTTTCGTATTGATTCCAGATTTCCAGTAATTCCGAAGTGTAGGAAACCTGAATTCATTTCCAAAGAAAGGGGGGGTCGAGTGATTTCAGGTCCCCCCTAATTCGAATTCCTAATTTCGGGAAGCTGGAAGGGGCGGGGCTCCTTGGGGGGGGGGTTCGAGATCCCATTGTCCCCGGCAGTCGTCCGGCCGTGGGCTTCCAATAGCCTGACGACTGCCCCCTGGACCTCCCCGTGCCGTTTCCCTCCCGCGCCCAACGCCCTCGCCTTGCCACTGTTCCCCGTTGACCTCCTCCCATCCCTCTCCGCTTGCACTCCCTCTCCTCCACCATCTGCTCTTCCCGATCTCCCTTCCTCTCCGTCCCCCGGGACCTCGTGCCCCTTCCCCCCTCCCTCTCCCCCGCACTCCGTGCCTCTCCCCTCGCCACGAAGCTTGAGATAACCGCAGTGCCGATGAGCACTGTGCCACTTTGTGTGCGTAGGGCCTGCGCGCAGGCGCGGGTCTGTCCGTCTGGTTATGTATAAACATGTCGAGTGGGAGAGGATCGAAAGAAACCATCTCTCGTCTCCTCCTAGACCCTATTCCTCTTCGATCCCGCCTTCCCCCGTCTCAAATGGGCTGGACCCAGCCAGCGCGGGGCAACTACAGTGGAGTACTCATGCTGCCTGGCGCCCAGGCAGGCAGGTGGTCTCCCTTCCTTGAGTAACTTACTGCTCCTCCCCCTGACTCCTTCGCCTCAATCTCCATCGCGCAGGTCCAATCTGGAAGCCTCGAAGTTCCCCGACCTGCGGGCCCCCTCGGGACGTCCACGCTGGCAACCTACAACCCCTTCGCTGCAACCACGTGGCTAACATTCGCGGAACGACAGCGAATAATGACTGCCGGACAGCCAAATCATTTCGTCAAATAACACTGCAAAGGGCACACGCATAAGCAAGGTGTCCTCGACTTTTCTCGCTCTTTGTCCTTGTCCTTCTCTTTTTCCTTCTCCTTCTCCTTTTCCTTCTCCTTTTCTTTGTCCTTGTCCCTGTCCTTTCTATCCTTCTTCTTGTCCCTGTCCCGGTCTCTGTCGCGGTCCTTCTCTTTGTCTTTCTCCTTATCTCTGTCACGGGAGCGGCTTTTCTTTCTGTCACGACTGCGAGATCTTTTCCTGAAAGGGGAACAACAAATCGCAACGATGAGACCATGGTGCGCGCCACCCCAACCCTCTCGCCGACATCCACCTCGGAATCCCACCAGCACTCTGGGCGGGCGAAGGTCCTTTAGAGGGACGGTTATTCCAACCCGCCTGTTCCCATTCGGTAGTGGTTTACCCCCCCCCCGCACCCCAAGTCGCAAAACTTTCCCCCTAGCCTGGCTACCCGAAGAGGGTGTTCAAATGCCTTTGAGGATGGATGTGTTGACTTGGGGCCTGTTAGAGGCCTCGTGTGGTCTCTCGGGGTATCTCTTGGGGGGTCTCTTGGGAGGTCTCTTGCGGGCCTCTTGGGAGCGTCTGAGGGTCCCGCGGAGGCCTCCTGGGCCTATTTTGGAGCCTGTTTGGCGCAAAACGCTGGACACCGTCGGCCTTTCCAAGATTTGAAAAAAATTAAAACCCTCTTGGGCATTTCAGTGGGTCGTCGTGGGCCCTCTGTGGCCCCCGAGTGCAATATTGAAGCGATAATAATATCTCTTGGGCCGTCTCGGACGCTCTCAAGACCGAAGAGCGGAGAATGCTAAAGCTATACAATCGCGACAGCTGGAAGCAATTAGACGATTTTGGCCTCCCGAGGCCCTCTTGGTGGTAATCTCGGAGGCCTTTGGGGCAGCCTTGTGGTAGTATGTAGGCCTCTTCAAATACTCGTGGAGGCTATCTTGAACCATCTTGAACCATCGCGGGCCATCTTACTGGCTGCTTTGGAGACTGCCTCGCCTTGTCCCGCCTTTCTGAGAACAACATGAAGGCCACACACGCCGGTTCCACGCCGACGGGGTCCCTCACTGGGTCTGCACGCCCCCCCCCGCCCCCGCGCGATGTGTCAAAAGGTCCTTGACGGTTCTCGTGCCCTCTGATGTCTCCAAAATGGCCTCAGATAGCCTAAGACGGCGTCCGGCATGTCTCACAGAGGCCCGAAGAAGGCTCTTGTGGTCACGGAGCCCCCCAAAGACACTCCCAAGATGCCCAAATCGTAAACAGCACAAGAAGGTTCCGCGCCTGACCTCAGCATGGGATTATTGTTACTAGTATTATGGCTCTGTCTCTTCAGTCATTCACTCAATCAAGCACACCTCCCTCCTCTCACTCTCAAACCCAAGACCAAATCATACCCAACCTCGCTCATATTCAGATTCGCTCACTGTCAGATCTACTCTGTGCCAGACTCACTCGCGCTCATATTCACCCATACGCGAACTCACTCATACTCGGAACCTCTCAGACTCAGCCCACCAAGACGCAGTCATACCTATATTTACTCATACTCGGACGCACTCCCACGGTCGAACTCATAATCACCCGCCTTCATATTCATACCTATACGACCACCCTTCGGGTGACAAGGAGGTGTGGGGGTGGGGAGAGGGGGGGAACCAACATCTGACTCAATCGATCTCACTATCGATCTCACTCAACAGGACACCACGGGACACCACGGGACACCATGGGACACTTGTCGATCTCACCATCGATCTCACTATCGATCTCACTCAACGGCACACCATAGGACACCTCGGGACACCACGGGACACCACATCGATCTCACGATCGATCTCACTATCGATCTCACTATCGATCTCACTCAACGGGACACCACGGGACACCACGGGACACTTGTCGATCTCACTATCGATCTCACTTTTTGGGACACCACGGGGCACCCCGGGGCACCACATCGATCTCATGATCGATCGCACTATCGATCTCACTCAACGGGACACCACCGGACACCACGGGACACCGCGGGACACCTGTCGATCTCACTATCGATCTAACTATCGATCTCACTCAACGGGACACCACGGGACACCTCGGGGCACCACATCGATCTCACTATCGATCTCCCTTAACGGGACACCACGGGACACCACGGGCCACCACGGGGCACCAAAGGACACCGCGGGACACCTCTCGATCTCACTATCGATCTCACTCAACGGGACACCTCGGGGCACCACATCGATCTCACTATCGATCGCACTATCAACCTCACTATCGATCTCACCAAACGGGACACCACGGGCCACCACGGGCCACCACTGGACACCATGGGACACCTGTCGATCTCACTATCGATTTCACTTTCTGGGACACCATGGGACATCCGGGACACCTCGGGGCACCACATCGATCTCACTATCGATCTCACTGAACGGGACACCACGAGACACCACGGGACACCGCGGGACACCGCGAGCCACCGACGTAAGGACGGACGGGCGGGAGGGGGAGAATCATTTGTCTTGACTTCGCCCTAGCAACGCCGGACACCACGGGACACCACGGGACACCACGGGACACCACGGGACACCGCGGGACACCGCGAGCCACCGCCGGACGGGCGGGAGGGGGAGAATCATTTTTCTTGACTTCGCCCTAGCAACGGCGGGTTAATTCCTCTCGCGCGCCTACGCAACTTCGCCTCGCCCGCACGCACGACACGAACGAAACGAAACGAATTCCCGGTTGGGGGTCTCCGTTTCACTGCGATCTCACCCCCCAACCTCCGATCAAGATGTACTCACAGTCGTATTCAGATTCGCTCATACTGAGACCCACGACTCAATCATACCCAGACCACCCCATGTGGCGGGCATGGCGTTAGGGCCACCCACATGGTGGTCGGCCTGGGCTGCTTCACGGGCCCGTTCGCGCCCAAATTGTGGGGATGTCTCAGGCGAAACACCCGCTTTGGACAATGCATGTCTTTATAGGGTGCCATGGACACCGCGATGTAGCACGCATGTCATTATGAGCCACCCAAGAGCCGTCGACCAAGGGTGCTTCACCGACCCGTTCGCGCTCAGATTGAGTGGATGTTTCTAGCGAAACGCCGCTTTGGGAAGTAGGCGTTTACCTCTTCAGGGCTCAGTGATCAGCGCAATGTAGTAAGCATGAGAATTGGAGTCATCCAAGGGGGGCCCTCGACCAATGATGTTTCACGGGCCCGTTGGCGCCCAACGTGTGGGAATGTGTGAAGCGAAACGCTTGTTCTGTCCCAGTAGACAGGTCTACTGCCAGAGCACCGTGTACACCGCGGTGTAGCAAACATTGCACCTGGGCCAGCCACTGGGGAACCGCCAAGGGCCATGACGCGGGCCCGCGCTCAAAATGAAGGATCCCCTCACGAATGTCTAGACGGGCTACTACTCCGACCCGTTCACCTTCAAGCCCACCGATATCCGTAAGCGCTTATATTCAATTGCACATACTCAGGCCAACTCTCTGCCAGGCCCATTGACATCCAAGCGTTCATACGCAGGCTCACTCAGACAGTCAGCCCGTATAATAAGGACGCGCGATAAGGATGCAAAGCCTTGGAGGGCCATGCCGACACTTTGCGAGCGGGGCGCGGCCAGCGAAAGCGGCCAAGGATGGGCCCAAGGGGAAGGATGCAGGGGCAGCCTTGGAAAGTGGTTCATCCTTACCATGCGAGTCGACTGTACTCAGCCACTCGTGTTCCGACTCGCTCTCTTGCATTCTGTAACCTGAATTCTTGCACTCCTGTGCATCCTGGTATGCTGCCTTCCGCGTCCTGCTCCGGGCCACGCTGTCAGGGACGACGAGGAGGACGAGGAGCAGGAGGGGCGGAGCTAACGGCGGATATGGAGACGCGAATCCCCCACTTTGGGGGTTTTGACTGGACGCAAACTTGTGGGCCCGACCTTGGGATAGGCGATGGGGGGAGGCCATCCTCACTACAGGTGCGTCCGGATAGCTCCAATAGAGTGTATCCAAGAGTTCCCCCCTTATGAGCGGCCAAACTTTTCGGGCGGAGCTTAGAAACTGAAGAGAGAAAAACCGTCTGTGCTGAGGAGCGGGAAGAGAAACGAAGGACAAAAAGGGGCAAGGACAGAATAACGGGAGGACAGAGGAGCGGGTCCTCCGGTCGCGGTCCCGTTCGCCGCTCGAGGACTTCTTCCTCTTGCGGTCGCCGCTTGAGGACTTCCTCTTCATGCGGTCCGCCTCCCGGTCCCGCGGAAGGGACGACCGGCTCCTGCGAGGAGAAAGGGCTTCGTCGTCGCCGTCCTTCTGAGAAGGTGGGTGGGGCGAGTGCGAAACCAGGTCATGGAAGGGGATAGGGAAGGAGCGGGAAGAAAGCAGATATGTGGAATGTGAAAGAGGAAGAAAAGGGGGGGCAACTGAGAATTCGGACGATGCAGTAGGAGGCGCTGTTCAGTGCCTAGTGAAGTAGAAGGCAGATCAACAAATCGGAAACTAAGCGGGCGCGGTGAGGTCGACCTTGAGCCCAACTGGCTGTGGTCGCACCTTCCCGCGCCCGTAAAGAACCAGCAACATAATTGAAGACATCCCGTTTGAGCATGGTACTCAAACGAATCCGTCGAGCCCCCTCCTCCCCCACCCCTCCTCATCATCCTCATCCTCTTCTGATTCCTCGTCTTTCCTCCCCCTCCTGGCGTTCGACGGTTTCCCAGCCTTTTCTGCCACTGCGTTCCCCCCCCACATGCCCGATCGGACATGCCCGATCGGGGCAAAACTCGGCTGGGCATCGTTTCTGGATGGGCTGGTGGAACTACTTTTTTGTCGCAACCGCAGGCGAAGGCGAAGGCGGCGTCAAAGGTCGGTTCAGGCTACGAAGGCTCGGGCTACGAACAAATTCCCGACCTAGGCTCTGCCTAGAAGGGTTCTTACTCTCTAGCTTAAAGGGGCCGGGCAATGGAAATCGCTCCGGGCGGTTCCCCCAGTCCCCGCCCCGCGGTTCCCCCAGTCGCGCCCCCTTAGCTTGGCTTGGCTTCTCTCGTCTTAGCTTAGCTTGGCTTAGCTTAGCTTGGCGTAGCTTAGCTTAGCTTAGCTTGGCTTACCTTAGCTTCGATTAGCTTAGCCTAGCTTAGATTAGCCTAATGTAGCTTAGCTTAGCGTAGCGTAGCATAGCATAGCACAGCCTAAGCCTAACATAGCACAGTATTGCATAACATAGCTAAGCATAGATTGGCATAGCGACCCCTTTAGCTCAGCTTTAGCCTAGCTGTAGCTTAGCTTGATCTTAGCTTCAGCTTAGCTTTACCTTAGCATTCGCTTAGATGTAGCTTAGCTTTGGCTTAGATGTAGCTTAGATTTAGCTTAGCTTCAGATTAGCTGTGTCTTAGCTTCATCATAGATTTAGCTTAGCTTTAGCTTAGCTTTGGGTTAGCTTTAGCTTAGCTTGCGCTTAGTTTTTGCATAGCTTTAGCTTAGCTTTAGCCTAGCTGTAGCTTAGCTTTAGCTTAACTGTAGTTTAGCTTTAGCTTAGCTTCAGCTTAGCTTTAGCTTAGTTTTAGTTTAGCTTTAGCTTAGCTTTAGCTTAGCTTTAGCTCAGCCTTAGCTTAGCTTGACTGTTACTACGAATGCTGCTTTCCTAGGGGCTCCAACTCCTAGGTAGGGTCGCACTGGGATAATCAAATTGACCAAGCGCGCACGGGCAGCTCAGAGCTACCGCCGGGGGGCGCTGGGCTGAGCCGAAGGCTGAGGCTGCAAGAGCGGCCAGGAACTGCCAGGTGACGGGCAAGTGTGCAGGCACCCCAGGGAGCGGAACCACCGAGATGGATGAATTGGACCTTGTCGCACCGGGCGCCAGAGGTCGACGCGCAACTGCGTGGTCAAGCGCGGGGCTGCATAAACAGACCAACGCGCTAGGCTGCAGACCGAAGTGGAAGAGCACACATGGCCGATCAAGAAAAGGCTGAACCACTCTTGAGTAAACCAGCGGGCCAGAATCCCATCGGACCAGCGGCAAAAGCAGACACAGCCAGGCTGTGGCGGTGACTGGAGACCACTGGCCAGGAAATTGCAAGCACCCGTGCCGGAACTGGCCCAAGCGCACGCCACCTGAATGCCAGGGCGCCTCAGCCGAATCCACACAACCAGAATGAGTGCCGCAGGCGCGAGGGACGGAGCGGGGTCGCAGACAGCCGAGGGCTGAGGCAACCTGAGTCCAGGTGCTCACGACAAGACGCGTGAGTCGAAGACACCACGAAGAAAGGACCAGTGCCAGGAAAACCGATCCAGGCCGTGGCCAGGTCCGAGCAAAAGCCAGGGCGAGAAGAACTACGCCCGACGGCCGAGGCCGAGAGGCGCGCCGCGCCCCGCCCCAGCAGGGGCCAGCGCACCCGGCATTGACGGCGCCTGGGAGCCAGGTCCCCAAGCGCGGGCGGGCAGAGCCAGGCGCAGCGCGGGGGCCATCACTAGTCATCACAGGGCCAGCAGCAGGAGGGGCTGCAACGAGCTGCGGCCAGGCGCGGAAAAGGCCAGGGCGACCAGGAGGGGGGCCAAGTCACCAAAGATGCCAAGCCAGGCCGTGGCCGGGCCCGAATGAAGGCCAGGGTGAACGCAGCTTCAGCGAACGGTCAGGGCCGCGCGGCGCGCCGCGCCCCGCCCCGGCAAGGCGCATCGCGCCAGGTATTGACAGCGCCGAAGAGCCTGAACCCCAAGGGCGGGGGGGGCAAAACCAGGCCCGGCGCCAATCGCAGCTGGCGGATGCACTTTCCGACGCGAAAGCCTGGGGCTCAATGTGTGAAGGGCGTCTCAGCGCACGGGCGCGCCCTCTGCAGCGCCCCCAACTGTCGCCGCGATGCTGTCTCCAGGTGGGGGCGCTCTCGAGCGCCTTTCCAGCCTCCGCCGCGATGCTGCCCCAGGGGCGCTGATAGGAGTGAGGAACAATATGGGCGCCCGCCTGCCGGTCTCCAGGAAGGGTGGGGGGGGCCGACGCGCCGTGGCTGACGACCGCTCGTCTGGCGCGTGGCTCTCCCAGGCGACAGTTGCAGCTAATGGCTGCACTTTCCGACGCGAAGTATTGAGTCTCTACTCTGCGAGGGGCGTCCCCGAGCGCGGGCGCGCCCGCTGCAGCGCTGCCGACTGTCGCCGCGAGGCAGCATGCAGGAGGGGGCGCGCGCTCTCGAGCGCCTCTCCGGCCTCCGCCGCGGCGCTGCCCCGGGCGCGCCGATTGGGGCGGGGAGCAGCAAGGGCGCCCGCCTGCCAGTCTCCAGGAGGGGGGGGGGGAGGGGCCGACGCGCGGCGGCTGACGATCGCGCGCCCGGCGCGCGGCCCCCCCAAGGCGACCGTTGCAGCTAGCGGCCACACTTTCCGACGCGAGCTACTGAGTCTTTATTGTGTGAGGCCCGTCTCCGAGCGCGGGCGCGCCCTCTGCAGCGCCCCCGACTGTCGCCGCGATGCCCTCCGAGAGGGGGCGCGCTCCCGAGCGCCTTTCAGGCCTCCGCCGAGACGCTGCCCCAGGGGCGCCGACGGGGGCGAGGGGCAGCACGGGGGCCCGCCTGCCGGTCTCCAGGATGGGGAGGGAACGACGCGCCGCGGCGGGCGACCGCGCGTTCGGTCCGCGGCCCCCCCAAGGGACCGCTGCAACTAACGGCCGCACTTTCCGACGCGAGCTCGCGACGCTAGTTAGCGATGGGCGTCTGCCCGCGCGCCCTCTGCAGCGCCCCCATCTGTCGCCGCGAAACTGTCTCCAGGAGGGGGCGCGCTCACGAGCGCCTCTCCGGCCCCCCTCGCGATGCTGCCCCAGGGGCGCCGATGAGAGCGAGAGCGAGCATGGGCGCCCGCCTGCCGGTCTCCAGGCGAGAGGCGGAACGACGCGCTGCGGCGGACGACCGCGCGCCCGTCTGCGGCGCCCCCAATCGACTGCCGCTGCTAACGGCTGCACTTTCTGACGCGAACTCAGAGGCGCAATTTTGTGGCGGACGTCTCCGAGCGCGGGCGCGCCCTCTGCAGCGCCCCCAACTGTCGCCGCGATGCTGTCTCCAGGAGGGGGCGCGCACTCTGGCGCCTTCCCTGCCTCCGCCGCGACGCTGCGCCACGGGCGCAGATGGGAGCGAAGGGCAGCATGGGCGCCCGCCTGCCAGCCTCCAGGAGGGGAGGGGCCGACGCGCTGTGGCAGACGACCGCGCTGCGGCAGACGACCATGCTCAGACGACCGTTGCAGCTAACGGCTGCACTTTCCGAAACACAAGCCTGGATCTCTATTTTGCGAGGCCCGTCTCCGAGCGCGGGCGCGCCCGCGGCAGCGCCCCCGACTGTCGCCGCGACGCCGTTGCCAGGAGGGGGCGCGCTTACGGGCGCATCTTCGGCCCCCGCGAAGACGCTGCGCCAGGGGCGCGGACGGGAGTGAGGGGCTGGAGGAGCGCCAATCAGCTTGACCCCAGAAGAAGGACCGACCCGCCGTGGCAGACGACCGCCGGGACAGTCCGCAACCCCCACGAAAGCAGCGCCCCAGGGGCCGCCCGGGGCGACCCAGGCACCGCCGGGGCGCCCCCGGCGCGAGGGCGGGGCGGCGGGCGACTAATGCGCAACGACGGCAGACGCGCCCTCAGAGCTGGAGCTGACGACCTTCCACTGCTTCCTGCCCTTCCTTGGTGCGCGGCTGTCGGCGCGGCCCTTCGCCGCCTGGCGCCCCCTGCCCGCCGCCACTGCGACCCAGGAGGTATCGTTGCCGCGGCTGGGACCAGGCAAGCCCGCACATCGCAGTTGTAGCTGCGGAAGGAGGACGAAAAGATGACGCAAGTTTGCTGGTCGCGCCGTAGCGGGTCGAGCGCGCCGTTGGTGCCGGGCGCGGCGCGCTGCTCGGCGAACGCGCGCCGGGCGCCTGTGAACATCGCCCCCAGGGTGACTTGAAGCCACTTTTCGTCTTACCAGGGGTCTCCCAGGGGGGGTCCAACTGGGCGCCGCCACTCTTAGCCTCATACAGCTGCTGCCCCGTGTCGGGGTCCACGGGTTCTGGCCATTGGCGCGCGGCGGGCCTCGCTACCCAGGGCGGGGGGGTCGGTGGCTGGTCCTTGGCGCGGCGGCTGTTGCTGCTTCTGCTGCTGCTGTGGCTGCTGGTGCGTCCGCCGCCCGTTGCCTGCCGTCTGCCAGACCCGCCAGCGCGCTCGGCGTCGCTGGGGGCCGGGCGTCGACCTGGGGGCGGCGAGGAGACTGGAAAGCCGCCGTTCGCGGAAGCCAGGTAGGGCGTCCACCCGCTGCCAGGCAGACGCGCTAGAGCCGCGTTCC